TTTCAGTTTTTTAAACATATTTCTAGCGTTTAGGCCTAATTTCTAAACGGCATAAGTCTGAATTATCATACAAGGAAGCATCGCAAAATGGGAGTTGACTGTATTGGCCTGCGTATATAAACAGCGTGTCCATGCCCATAACAATCATGGATGGGAACCTTTATTTCCGCAACCGTTGCACAGACATGTACTTCCAATTACAAAAATATTTTAATTAACAGATACATTGATATTACGCAAATTTACAATTTTAATAATGAATGTTTTAAAGATTTTGAAATATCCCCTTTTGGTACTATTCGGTTTCGAGGGCCGTAAAAAATCGCCAAACTATTATTGATACCAATGCTGCCAAAAATAATTGCGGCAACCCTAATAATTGCTGCAAGAAAGGAAGTATAATAGTAAATAACTATTTAAGATTGATGTTTTAATTTATATGAAAGGTTAATTTCATATGATACTTTTTTATTATTATAATTTATATGAAAAAGGCCAAACAAAACTGAATGGAAGCGTAAGGGTAAATAACTATTTCAGATCATTATTATAATTTATATAAAAATTGCTAAACATAACTGAATGGATGCCTGCATCTCTATTTCGCTACCAAGTTATCGGTAAAGCATAATTTCATCTCGTTGGTTGTTCAAACGTAATTTTCTATAATGAATGATGCCTTTTCTTTGAAAAAATCCTCGGTAAAGTGCAGAATCGCCCACTTATTTGTTTGCCGCTTTTTAAAAGGGTGAAACAATTGGATTTTTGTCAACTTTCTTTTACTTTTTAAGTGAAAATAGGTGTCGATGTGTACATAGATAAAGGTGTGCGCAGTGCCATTTTTGTGCAATTCTAGGATTTTTTTTTTTTAAGGGACAATAGGTCGATGTGCACATGGATACCGAGTACGTGCAATTCTTAAAAACGCGTCAAGCAGTGGGTGATTCTGCACTTTACCCAAAATTCTATTGCCGAGTTTTCGTAATGGGCAATTCCCAAATTGTTAATCCATAGGATATCAAAAAAGGATTTAAAATCAAAAAAGGATTTAAAAATTAAACTAGTATTTCAATGGCGTCTTAAGAAATATAGAACTATATAAACTTACGCAATCATCAATGTAATCAGCGCGTACGCTAGATTTGGCATGCCGTTAAATGGCACGTTTGCTAGATTTGGCGCTTTTGCCCGTACATTTTCGCTGCAATTTTTTTACGGCCCTCGAAACCGAATAGTACCTAACTTTTTATACCGCTCGCTGGTTCATAGACATTTTTTTTTTTTTTTTAAAGATTAAGCTTCTTCTAAAAAGTATAACATAAAAGTTTGATTCTCATACAACAAAAATTGATGGAGATAACTGGTTCAAAGTCTGGGATTTTTTAAGATTTTTCACTAAAAGGAAGACATGTTTTTTAGCTTTCCTTAATGACTCGGTTAAAAAATAAATTAGAATACTTCGAAGTTTATTTTTTTTCCAGTTTATTGTAATTCAGGGGTATTGCTTTTCAATTTAACTTCTCTAATTTTTTATTTTGTTACATTTGGTACGCTATCTGTAAATTTTCAAATGCTAAAGATATGTTATTCATATGCAATTTTATTACGTAAGGGTCAAAACCTAATAACCGTTCTCGAAAACACTGAAATAGAAAAAAAAAAAAAAATTAAATTTATGTAAATAATGTTTTGAATTAGCTAGTTAAATTCTGTGGATCTTAAAAATTGTTTTCATCAAAACTTTTCACGACAGTCTAATTGCTCATAGCAATATTTATTTTTTTATTTGTTAAGATCAGAAAGTGTTTTCTAAACTGATATTCCGTTTTCAGCTAAGCATAAACTTAAATATTTTGCTTAACATACGTATGAACTTTGAAATTTCAAGAGACATGATTTCAAACTTTAAAATTAAATATCTCGATCAATTTTGAGTCAAACATTGTGTGTTTCGTTTTTGGAATGAAAATATACTTTTACTGATCGGGGAACCCAATAAAAAATAATGTTTTGTAAGTCTTACAAAATTGATTTTTTAAATTAAAAAATACCATAATATGGACGTTTTTCTTATTTAAAACATTTTTGTAAGTGGAAGTACATGCCTATGATCAATGGTTGTGAAACTAAAGACCTCATAAGGACTTCTACAGACACGCTACATAAAAGCTATTTCAAAAAGTTTACTTCCTCTAATATTTTTTCGTAAACCTGTGGCTCCAGTTTAAGAAGTCAACTAAATATTTAGGCTCCCTGATTTTGATAATTATGATACGTGATTACTTTTAGTAGAAGTGTACGTTATTAAAGTTTTTGTTTTTTACAAAGAAAGCTCTACCTAGTCGGGTGTACTCTAACTGCGCTGATGAAAATCCCCCCTCGTCCTGCTATAGTCTAACTGCGCCGATCAAAAGTTCTTTCCCCCGTTGCCTACAGGGTTACAATTTTATTTTTCGAAGCCAACTGTAGCCAAGAGGAAAATAAAAATTAAGAAATATATTTTTTATAAATGAATAGGGGATTTGTTGCCAATCTAGAGAAATTAAGCTTCGGCAACAACAAAGATAACGCCTTCTTTTATTATTATTGCGAATTAAGTCATTTCAAAAATATTTTTTGAAAAGAACTATGTAGTAATGCATAAATGAAAGAAATTAAATAAAAACAATCAAAGAAAATATGTAAGAATTATTACATTAAACACTCTCTTGACCGCAAGTGATAGAATTTTGTTTTCTCGTTTATCTTTCAGTAAAGCTTATACAATTAAATAATCATTTTCATTCGCGTAAAATTATAAACAAATGTAAATTATTATAGAAAACGCATAAAGTTAAACACTACAGTGCGAAAGGAAAATTCTGGAATAAAAATGTTAAGAAAATTAGATGAGAAATAATCCATAATTTATTGATATCCATATAAACTCTATGCTTTTGGAAAAAGTTACACATAATTTGCACTGAGGTATCAATCACCGAAACCAAGTTAATTTCTTTCCTTACTTTTTCTTATCATTTTATTCATAGCCCAAATGCTCAAAACTTCATCACACCACATTACTTTTTCTTATCAGAGGGATTTGTAAAAAGATACGCTAAGGTGAAAAATTTTGCAATATTTTTAAAGAATAAATTTTAAAAGTATTTTTACTTCATGAACTGAAATTTTTACTATACATTTTTACACAGTAAATAAGTACAAAAGAAGAAAGAGCTAGGGGATCACTGGGACTAGAAACTCGAGTCGAACTACCAATGTTTAGTGACTTTTCCGCTTGATCATAAGACCTTTTGAAATTAGTCTGAACAATATATTAAAGAAAATAGAAGATACAACACACGTAAGAACAAAAGTGGGCTGAATTAGAGATTTACATGTTTAATGAATAAGTTAAAGTTACTACATAGTTAAACTTACCTGTATGCCATTATGAAATATTTGGAAGTAGCATAAAAGCATGAGTGAAGAAGGCAATGGCAATCTAAATCATTGTAATCTAAATGTATAACATTATCAGTATCTGCTATTAATTTCAATACTGCTGAAAAAATTATAAATGAATTATTTTATAAATCGTATGAACTCGTTGCATTATAAATTACAACAGTTAAAAATATTATTAGCGTGATTTAGCGACCATCTTTGTTAACAAATAATTTCAAGTAACTAATTTTACAAAAAATTCAGCCTGAAACTAGATAAGAAAATAAGCTACATGCTGAAGATTAAGCTTTGCCAAGGTGTTAGAAACATCTTCTGTTAACTAGAGTTATGAAGCAAGAATTTGTAAAAATGATCATTTAAATATAAATTGACATAAATACAATACAAATTATAAGTTTTACATACATGAAAACTTGAGTACAGTGCAACAATATGTGAAAAAGGAATGGATTAAAAGGGAGACTGAAAATCCCAGGATATGAATATAAGGGAGTTTGATTTTTTTTGTTAATTATAAAAATTTTGATGACGCTCATAATTATCAATTTATTAATTAAATGTGTATTAGAAATTAAATGTATGCCAAAGTACATTAGGTGGAAAACAGAATAAATATTTAAACGTTTCTAGTATTAAAATGTGGAATTTGTAACAAAGTTAAATAACCTTAAAATAACTTCAATGATTAAAAATGGAAAGCTTAATACGGGAATATATTACAATAATATTAGTGTGAATTTAGAACAACTTAAGAAGTCCAATTTTTAGATTTAATAAAGATAATTTTTATAATTAAATTAGAACTGTTTACTAAAATGGTAAATTTGAAAGTTAAAACCATTTTGCTATCTAAGAAGATTTGTTAATATTTATCTAGACAAGAAACTTATTTAAGGTGAGCTACAAATCCGATATTTGATACGTTGATTATGTATCAGTTTTGTGTATGTCATTAATCTATCAATTTTACTATTCAAAACTGATATATATGTACAATTTGGAAAGTTTTTAATTCTTACAGAGAATAAAAAAGATCTGGCTCATCATTCCTTTAAGCATCATAAAACTTTAAAATGAGTGTAAAAGAAATTTATTTTTTAGCACACGCCAGACTTTAAATTAATATTTGTTTTACATGCACATTTTTTACAATATTGATAAACAAAAATAAAGGCTTGCAGTCTCAATAGAATGTCCAATTAATGGCGATAAACGACTTTTTGTAGCACCCAATCTTCTTGGAAAGAAATGAGGGACAAGAAACGTCGCGCAATTCGTGGATTAAAAAAGAGGGGGACGGGGATTTTCGATCAAATTTGGCGCAGTTCGTACCCTACCAGTTAGTCAATAGCAAAATTCATTTTTTATCTTATTTTCGGCATTTTTTAAAACAAAATGTAGCTACAGAATATGCAGAATTTGTATTAAAAATTGCTCAAAGTTTTTTTTATCTAAACCATCTTCCCTGATGAAAAGAAATGGCGAAGACAGTCGAAAATACTCTCTTTTCTTCAAAGACTTTATCTTATAACTTTTATAAATCTTTCTTTTAGATTCAGAAAAAATACACCTGGGGTCTGAGAAATTTTGGAATGGATCTCAATACTGTGCAGGACTGCATTATTCGCAACTGCACAGAGGAAATTTGCAAGAAGAAAATAAGAAACTTATCTGAGCTTACGAAAATAAGTAAGATAGTAAAAATTTATTATCATAATTTTTTATCTGACGCGCACACATGAAAACATTAAACTTAAATTCGTAGTAAAAGTATGAAAAATATTTGATATATGATTAATAATATGATTAAAATAGATATGTTTTGTTGCAAAGAATAAAAAAGGAAGTATAAAATATACTTTTTGTTTACAAAATTAAATTGGATATTCTTCCTTTTCTCTTTTTTAATGTTTTGTTAATTAAAATCAGTTATTATGTATTTTTATACATGAGAATTTTAACACAAACTATTAATTTCGGGTAATAAGCAGGAAGAACTAATTACCAAGGTAAAATATTTTCTATCAGAAATCAAATAAAGCACCTACGTAGCCATACTTTTACAGGTGCTTGCAATAAATAAGCGGATTTCTTTCCTAAATTAATAAGCAAATCAACACAATTCTGTTAAATGTGAAACATTATCTATAAATGAAACATAAACATAGCTAACCTTTCTTTCTCTTTGGCAACAAGAAGTCGCAATACGTAGGTAACTCTTAAATTTTTTAAACAAGGGACGATAATATGTGCTAAAAGAAAATTATTTTATACATATGTGAATTTGAACTCATTAATGTCCCTAGACGATAATTTGTGGCAATAATTCCAATTTTCATCTATCGTAGAATAAATTCGGAAAGCATAACTTGAGTTGACCCTAAAGCATTATTGTGTTCTGATTTTCTACGATAAAGTGGGACTAAATTGAGAAGAATGCCTTCAACACCCACAATTAGAGAATGAAGCTCTATGCCACTGTATTGAAGTGATTTAAAGAATTTCGTAATGGTCAAAATTCTCTCTTGGATGAAAAGCAAATACGGTGATCTTTGTCAGCTGTAGTCTCAGAAAATATGTCTGCCATGAGAAAACTATTAATTAATTATGATCTTTATACTTATAAAAAATGATACAAAAGAAGCTTAACATTGGATCCACAGCTTTGTATGAAATTATTCGTAGAGAACTGTATATGAAAAAATTAATTTGTCTGTATAAATTAACAGAATACTAAAACACGGAGTGTGTCAGGTTTGATAAAGAAACTCTAAAATTACTTAATGATGGAGCGCACCGCATTATTGCTAAAATCAAAACTGATGATGAAAGTTACATACCGTTTTTTGGAGTTTCCAGCACGCCAAGAGAGTAATGTATAAGTCTCTGAACCCAGATCAACAATGGTGAAAAGACAGCCAGCAATGAAAAAAGTAATGTGTGCTGTTTTTCTTCAAAAGTATAGAACTAGTGAAAGCTATGAAGTTAGAGAAACAGAAGACAAGTACGGCCAACTGGTTCACCACTAATTGTTTTCCAGAAATTCTTTAAAAAGTTAAAATTAGGGGAACTCGTGCTTTCCAATGATGATTCATCTTGTCACTGAGCAAGATTGACAGTTGAATTTCTTGAACAAAAACAGATTAAAGTGATAGAACACCCACACTATTCTCCTGATCTTGCTATGCGTGACTTGTGGCTATTTTTTTTTTTTTTTATCTAAAACAAAATTTTAGCTGTCATCATTGTTATTCCGAAGATGAGATTGATGAGGCTATAGAAGCACATTTTTCATCGATTCCAAGAATGACTTGAAGCATTTAATCTTAGAAGAATTTGCCTAAAAAATGCATTGATGTTGCAGGGGACCGCTTTGAACACACTAACGTTTGGTAAGTTTAACTTTTACCATTTAGCTGTATCTAACAAATTTCAGTGACCCTCCCCTCGTAATGCCTGGTAATTTGTCCATAAAAGTCCATAAAACGAACGAAAATTATTATGGATGTTAATAAGTATTTTAATGTTAGTAAAATGGCAGAAAATCTGATAAATATATGTAAAAATTATTTCATGTTACCAAAACCTATTAAATACAGCAACTGAAAAGAAATAATTTTAAATTGTTTTAAAGATGCTTTAGGGTCACTTTTATTAAAATGAAAAATTCCATTATCGGAATAAATTTCACTCATATAAATGCTTGATTTATACATATAAAACCACTTACATTAAGATTCCAAAAAATTCCCATTTTCCGCATTTAAGCGTTTTTCATTCATATAAAGAGTTGATTAGATTTTCAGTATAACTGCACAGTCGGAAGCGGTACTTTATTTGAAGTCCGTAAGAATTTTTAACGAAAAAATGTATTAAAATGTAATCCAAAATTTTTTAATTTTAGTGTTTAAGTCTTTTATATCAACGAAACAACATATTAGATTTGGGCGTAAAACTGGTAAAAGGAAAGTATACTTTATTTGAAGTTTTGAACTAATTTTAGTGAAAAAAATGTATTATAATATAAATCAAAGCTTCTAAAATTTGGTATTTAAAACTCATATATGATTGAGAACCAAATATTATATCTTTATTATAAACCGGTAGTACTACTTTACTAGGAACTCTTCAAATATTTCCACGAAAAAATATAGAATCACTATGATAAGAGTTTGGTAGATAGATCTGTCAGTTTGTTACCACACATGACTGGTTACCTTATATTCAAATTTCGACCGGAGGCAAACAGTAACATTCGAAACACATAACCTAGGTTTCAAGTTTCAGAAAGGCCAGTCTGTAATGGTTTTTGTTGCAATAATCATTCTTTTGACAAAGCAAAGAAGCAAATAAAGGAAGAAGTAAAATATAAGACTAAAATTAAAAAAGAAAAAAAATCTAAAAGGGATCCAATTTGAATTTCACCCACAGACTCTTTTTTTAATTTTAAGGTTTGTAAGGATTATATTAATTTTATTAACAGTTAAATTTCGAATTAAACTTCTTTTCCTATCTCTTCTTAGTTTTAGCTTACCACTTCCGGCCAGAACGTAGTTTTAGAATCACGTTTGGATGCAAATTGAGGAAGAGCTGTATTTAACAGCGAAATTCTACTGTCTTAGTCAGACAGAACCAGAGATTCTGGCTAGCACGAGTCCGCCTTTTTAGGCTACTCTCTCTTAAGCTATTATTACGCTCGGCAGTACTTTAGGCCCTTAATAGCTTCGCAGTCAATTAGCATTAAGGGGACAATTCCGTTAGAATCTTGATAGCTTCGGTTATAAAGTCCATAAAACGAACGAAAATTATTATGGATGTTAATAAGTATTTTAATGTTAGTAAAATGGCAGAAAATCTGATAAATATATGTAAAAATTATTTCAGAAATGAAGAACTAAGAGCCGCTCTGTGCTAATTATAGCAAAACAATCAGGGAAAAATACTTTTTAACGGTAGATATCCTACAAAATATAAGTGCATTGCAATAAAGAAATACAGTTGTAATCATTTTTCATTATTATGATATCAACGATAGAATTATTACTTCGTTTTTACATGCATATTACTTAGTTGATTACTGTATGATTTCTATAATTAAATGAAGTTAAGATTTAATTAGTTAAGATTTTATTAATTTTTTAGTTAAGATTTAATTCTTAGTTTCCTAAGTTCAAGCCCGAGTGTCGGCTTTATTGTAAAACTCCAAGACTGAGCTCTGTTAAATCTTATTTGAATAATAAAGGGTCTTTTAACCCTTTAAAAGTTTAATTACTGTCTCATGAACTTAAGAGATTATTCGCTTACTAATTCTTAAGATTCTTCACATTCAACTGTAACTTAAAGCACACAATAGAGAATATTACAAGTTTAGTATGGTCTCTCTTGATTTCAAAATTCATTAGCCTACTGTTGGACTCAATTCTACACATCCGTTTTTGCTTTGTTAACATAACATCGGTTAAAATAAATTCTCGGGTCGAACAGTAATTTACGTACATAATTCGTACAGTACAGTGTTTTGAATTTATAAATCAATGACTTAATAATCACAAAATTTTTCGAGGCAGCAAATCTTTAGAATTCACGATAAAGTGTTAAATATTGCCATGCATTTTCTTTTCAATCTTTCAGTCTTCAGTTCATGATATAATTGTTCAGTTTTCTTAATAAGATAACTAATTTTCTAATTTGTAATTTTAGCTTTGTTTATTAAATACCAGTGTTAATATCGTAATATAATAGTACTAAATATCTCTTTGCACTTACATCACATAAAATTCGAAAGTAAAGTCATAAAATCATTAAAAGTAGCGTATCTTTAAAATTCCCAATACGGTGTCATGTGTTGCCTTATATTTTTTGTATTCGCTATATTATGAATATTTGCTATATTGTTCCTTTAAAAATAATGTATAGCGATAACATCTGGTGACAACATTCTTTTATTTGGAAAATTATCCAACACAAAATTGAAACGGTCGCAAAATGAAGAACTAAGAGCCGCTCTGTGCTAATTATAGCAAAACAATCAGGGAAAAATACTTTTTAACGGTAGATATCCTACAAAATATAAGTGCATTGCAATAAAGAAATACAGTTGTAATCATTTTTCATTATTATGATATCAACGATAGAATTATTACTTCGTTTTTACATGCATATTACTTAGTTGATTACTGTATGATTTCTATAATTAAATGAAAAGGTGCTTAGGTTTCGGGCAAAATTAGACAACCGGCAGTAGCACTGAATTTTTTCTCACAATCAAAATTGTTGTGAGGTCTTGTGTTGGCCAAATCAGCATTTCTTTTTATTTTCATTTTTTTGCTATTTTTTTAAGTCTTCGAATTCCAGTGCATTTTTAAATATCATATCAGGCATGCGGACAATGATATTAATTTGAGCAAAGAATACATGCATGCGAATTTAAAGTTTTTAATAAATCAATTATTAATTTTATTTACATATTACTTTTTCAGAAGTGGAAACATCATTAAAACATGGGGACCATTCGTTCCATCAAAATTCTTCTACAACAAAGAACTCTGACATTGCTATAACTCGATATTCCCTACGATCGAGTTGTAATATGAAAGAAATGTCATTTTTAGAAGAATATATAAAGATTTGGGATGTGAACGGCTCTAAATTTGCAGTAAATGAATCGTACACTCCTGTGAACGACCAACAAACCGAAAGAGAATGATTGTTGTTATTTAAACAAATATCTTTTTCCATTTCCAGTTAAAAAATATAGACCAAAAGATAACTATGACCTGAAGAAATTAATCGAAACAGCTGAACAACATCCAATGGAATTTCCCCTGATTTTGCTGGAAGAAAAAACGAAATTTTTGAGTTTATTTTCTTTAGCACCTAAAGAAATATCTTTTAACGAAACAATAAAATCTGAAGAACTACTAAGTTCGAGCAATGATCCCCATTCTTTACATGAAAATATGAGCAGTATTTTAAATGAACAAACAAGAAGCATTTCAGAATTTCAAAGAACAATTTCAAAAGGTCAAAACAATTTAGTATTCAAAGAACCAAAAAATATTTATGAAATGACATCATTAATAACAGCAGCAGAGCATTCTACCCATTTTACACCTATTTTAGTGGACGGAAAAACTAAATTCTTCTGTTCATTAGGATTAGCACCAACAGCAATATACAGTAATCATACGATTACGAAATTTCGCGAAGAATTGGGGCTATACAATGGGACAAATTCAAAAGAAGAAATGACATTTTTAAAGAAACAAGAAGATAAATCATTGACGAAGCATAAAAATCCGAAAAAAAGCCAACAAAAGAATACATCCACAGAAACACAAGAATGGATATCTATTGAAGAACCAGAGAGTACAGTGCTAAAAAGCAAATTTGAATCCAATTCAAAACAACTGCGTGACAGAAAAGAACTTCGAACTGAAAACATTGAACAGAAGTTAAAAACACAACAAATTTCAGTCCAAAATACATCAAGATTAAAAGTTCACTATTCATCAAATTTTCGCAAATTTTCGAAACAGATTGAATCCAAAAATTTTGCATCTACTACAAAAATTGTTTCGAATCAAAAAGGTACAGGAAAAGAATTTGTAACTACAGGAAAAAAGAAGCAGAAAAGCAAAATGTATACGAAAGAAAGGGAAATTCAGAATCCTCGTGTTATTCTTGATAAATCGCACATCTCAAAAATTGATTTGATTTCATATGCACAAGTCAATGGTATAGAAGCAAACTATGGAGATTCTAAAAGTTGTTCTAAAAGGTCTGTAGGAGATAATACAAGAGCACAGAGATGCAGTGGAAGAAGAAATACTTGTATCGAATATTTACATTGTGAAGCGAATTCCCCTATTATAGATTCACAAAGAATTAGAAAATCAACTAAAAATGTTAATAAAGACTATTTTAAGCCAACGCGTTTTTCTCTTAACGAGCAAGATATTTCCGATGTATGTAATTTAAAATCGAATACCTTGCTAAAATCTTCCACTGCAGTAAGTGATGTGAACGAATCAGTTAAGTCTTCTGAATTGTATAAGCTCCTTACTGATCTACACGACACACATGATCAAATATCCCGTAAAAATCTGAATTCATATTTTGAATATCTCAATAACGATTGGAACGAAAAATCATTCTCAGAGCAAGTTGGATCTTCTTCCTTAGAGCATAATTCTCTGCATGATAAAGAATATTTGGAGTTTGGGAAAGAAGTATATAGTGATATGGAATTTTCAAACTGTGATAAGCATGAAAAGTCGTCTGAGCCAAGTGACTCAAAACAGTGCCCAGATGATTTAAATAAATCAGTTGAATTGACATTAGGGCAAGCTAATGAACCTGGAAAATGTGCACAATTGAGATCAAGCGTAAAAGATGTAGAACTGGAAACATTTAAGAAAAAAGATGTTTTTCATGAACCAAAGCCGAGAAATGAGAACTCGGAGCAAATACCTAAATTGACGAATGATAAAAAAATACATAAAGACGCAGAAAATGATTTTAATGATCCAAAAGTTTCACATGAAGATAAAGAGAAGGACATGAATCTGAAGATTAAAATAAAATTTCCTCCTCCCAAAGAGACCTTGAGACATAGGAAGAAAGGTAAGTTTTATTTTAATTTTTGTTCTGGTCGTGTGTCAATATTGAATATCTTGTATTTTAATGAATATTACTTCTTTTCAAAGTTTAAATGAGCTTAATCCCATTTAAACTCAAGTTTACTTTATTTTAAATTTGTAAGCAAAGTAACAGTATTGCCTCATTAATACTGTCATATGCATTTATTATTTAAATTTCATTAACAATAACTATAAATAAATAATTATAAAAGATTAAAGTGCTATGATTTTACTTTCAAAACATGGCAAATTCTTTTTGTGTAGCTATAAAGTATTGCCTTTTAACACATGATGATAAAAGTCATTTGAAATTTATTTGAGAATTATAAAACTAGAAATTTCGTTTTATGCATGCTTAGTTATTATATGTACCCATTTTCATTTACTGCTTTGATACATTCTCATCCGATTATTTCAGGAAATAATTTTGACCAATTAATTGTTGGAAATGATATCTCGGTCAGACGACAATATATTACCAGAACGTTCTATTACACTCATCTGCTTCCAAGTGGCTTAATTTCCACATACATAGCTAGGCACAAATTTAACGGTGGAGTTTGGTGTTAGTTTATGCGATAGTAAATTTTATGCAATATACCCTTAATTACTTTCATCGAAGTTTAACTATCGCAGACTTTGAAAAGTATTCCATTGTTTCAATGAATGCGGCATTAACAGAATGGCGTATATTAAAATACTACACCTGCTCTCATTCAAGTACAAGGACACCTACGATAACTCTTGTAGTGGCTGCGGTAGTTCTTTTCTTTAAAAATTAAGCAAGATTTTGTATCTTTTTTCTATGGATATGTTTTCACGTGACTTCAAGAACAGCGTAATGGGGTATATTCTAGGCTTGATTAGAAGCCAAATCAGAAGGCTCTTTTGTCCAATTTCCTTGGAAAACAAATATTAACTGTATCTTGAGCAACTAACTGAAAACTGGCATGGTATTTCAAAGTGTTTAAAAATGATCAGATTCTTTTATATCTTGTGTTTGGAACAGTAAAAGTACTCTAGCATTCTAGTTCTAGGTACATGCTGCTGATAACAATAGCCAAGATTACATCTTATTATTTTAACTTTCGGTGTAACGAATGCGCTATGAATAGAACATGACAAGCATCTTGGTCGAGGATCTGTCTTCATACATGTTTTTAAGTATGAATAATTTCTGAATGAACGTGAGTATACATGTACAGCCATCAGATTTGCCGAAGCAGAAACATTAAAAATGACCTGACCGGGATTCTAACTCCGGACCTCCCGAACCGGACGAACTTCCAACTGCATCATGAAGGAACGCGATAAAGAGGGAGAAAATACCTTACAAACGTAGGAACAGCTTTAGTAGGGCCCACCCAGAATTTTAACCAAAAATATCGCCAAGAATGACGACAAATGATATGATGTAGCAACCCACACCGGTTTACAAGCATGTGGTAACCCATACTATTCGGGAAACGCAATGTAAATAACTGTAAATTTATAATTTCTAAAGAGGGTGGAATTATAGTTACAGCTAACATAGTGGTCAATTGCATTTATTTAATTTCAATACAAATTACCGAGACCATATACTTCATTTACTCATAAGAGCAATAATAAGTTAAATGCACGTGCTCCTGTATTCTTACTTTTCCGGCATAGCTTTCTCTTAAAATTTGTCTCGCATTGCATTGCACGTGGAAATACAACATTTTTGATTAGAATTCTACTAAAATTAACTATTTAAATACAAAACTTGTAACATTATTTTCGGCGATTGTTTAAGGTTCAGATATTGCGGAGAATACTGTTTTGGAGATAAAATTTTTGCATTTAGTTATAGATTGCTCTAAACCTGCTATTAGTGATGTAATTAAGTATCAGGAGATTTTAAAGGAAAATTTAAGGTGGGAGTTTTCAAACAAGCCTAAAAGCCAGACATTCCAAACAGATATTTTATGTATGAATTAACAAGAGAGTATGAACTTTTTAGAGGATTTTTGATGGATTGTGGATTCTTGAAGGATAAACTTTCTTGTGAAAACTGTAAGATACCATGCAAAGGTATCTTACATTTGGGAAAGTCAAGTTTCAGGCATTGTTTTAAAATTACATCCTTTTAACCTTTATCATTTTCATTAATTATTCCTTAATATTTTTTTCTCTTAAAATCGTGTATAATAGTCGTAAATTTATTTCTACTATCTACGATTTCTGGTGAAATCAAGATGGCCGCCACATTTACTTTTGAAACACGGAGTTTCGTCGAAAATCTCGATGGTAACCATTTTCCAAAACAGCGTATTTCATGCGCTTTGTCGAAAAAAAAAAAAAACTGCCAAACTTTGAAGGTAGGCTATACTGAAGCTGTTCCCAAACGTAATACATAAGAGAAGTAAGAATGTTTTTGATTAAAATATAAACGAAAGTTTTATGTAGCAAATGAGGTGAATCGAAATCAGTTATTGATGCTAAAGAGTAAGAAGGATTTGATGTATTGAAAGATGTCGCAACTGATAGAATATTTAATCACTAGTAGTTTCTAATCTACTTAAAGTAAAATAGTAGGTGATTGATTTTAAATGTGTAGGAACATTTGCCTCAGTAAGCAATTTTCATATTAAATATTATTTCTTGAGATGGCTCACAAAGTCTTTTTTCAGGTTGATGTTATTTCTTATAAAAACGTTAGTCTACAAAAATCTTTTGCATTTCATAATTAATTTGCGTTAAGTAATTTAAGATGACTTGGCTATCATCATATTTTCCTTTTTTCAGCTACTGGTAAGAGAAACCGAAAAAAAGTTATGAAAACTCTTCATCGGATAACGAACTGGATTCTCAGGATGAAAAAGAAATTCAAAGTAATTACTCGCAATAATAAAGAAGAACACAATATTTTACTCAGTGGTATGTTTTTAAAATTTTAAAACACATGTTTTGGATAAAAATGTTTTAAACAGCACAAGGTGTGAGGTTGAGAACTATATAAAATAGCAACATTATATCTTGAAAAATACAGTGGAATCTCTCAAGGCGACAAACTCTGGAAGAGATTACTATGTATAAGAATATAAATATAATTATAAAATATACATACATATATATATTAATTAAAATTAATAATACTCGTATTTTCTGAGCAATCCAAAGCATTTTTTAAAGTACTCGGTAGGTCACTCAGCGGTGTGTTGTGGTCTAAATACAGGTTGATTCAAAATGAATATAGCCCTAACAAACGGCTATAGTTATTTAATTGAAAAGAATTTATCGATAAGAATAACTCAGAATGTAAAAGGAAGTTCAAAATTTTATTTGCCATACTTTATAAATGTTCTATGTAACTTATATTTGTAACTCGGACAACATCTAAACGGTGATCCATATCACGCCCTACATTCTGAAATATATCCAAAATCACTAACGCAAGCGCATTAGAAATGCTCATTTTCAGTTCTGGAATTGTTTTCAGTAAAGGGAGCACATACACCCTTATGATTTCTTTCTATGGGGTTATGCGAAAGACCTCAATTTCTTTCTATAGGGTTACGTGAAAGATCTCCGTTTATTTCTATGTGGTTTTGTGAAAGACCTTGTGTATGTGCTTCCTCTGCCGAAAACAATTTCAGAACTCAAAATACGCATTTTTGATGCCCTTACGTTGCTGACTCCAGATTTTATGGAGTGAAAGAAACTACCGCTTAGACGTTTGTCCATGTTACCAAGGAAAGTCACGTAAAACATTTATAAAGTATGCAAACAAAATTTTGAACTTCCTTTTACATCCTGAGTTGTTCTTATCCATAAATTGCTTTCAATTAAAAGGATTTATAGCCTTTTGCAATCGCTGTATTCGTTTTGGATCAACCTGTAGTTCGTGCATTTGTGCTATACCCACCATGGCCGACGCCACAGTGTGTGCAACCGGTACGGCCGCACCGAATGGTAGAATATAGGGGCTGCAAAATTTTTAGAAATTAGGAAGGAACCGGGCGGCAGAATTTTGCAGTTGCAGAGTATGCACCGGGCGACAAATGGTCTAGCGCCAGCCCTGACACCCGTATTACTTATGGTTAAACATTACGTGTCTAGTATATTTCAACCTAACCTAATCAACTATTAAAACTTAATATATGGAAGACAGCCTCCAACATGGAAACATATAGTTTTTTGAACAATACATTGAGGACTGCAGGAAATCTGCAATACAAGAAATTTCCTAGAAAAGCACAGACATCTTGGAGAGCCATCTTTGTTCTGTTTGGGTTTTCTCTTGCAACGTTGGACCCAAACATTACCTGCTAGGTCAAGATCAATGACCCTAAGCACTTATGGTAGCAGTTACGTAACTTATCTCGTGACTAATGCACTAAATGATACATCAAGCAAATGAGATCAATTGTCAACACCGGTGACAGAATTTTGGCCAGAGGGTCCGAACTCTGAAACCTTTTTATTTATTTTTATTATTTTTTTTTAAATTTTTTCCTAGTGGAGTACACCAGAAACACTTACATACATATTTCAGGGATATAACTTCATTAATTTAGATTATATTTCATCTAACTTGTGTTCAACTAATGTTTACTTAATATAAGTTATGCACTCCATTACGTAGCTTTTGTTCCCTCACTGTTAAAAAAAGTGAAAATTGGAAAAAAAAAAAAAAAAAAACGTAAAAAGACATTTAAATCATACTAAAACACTGATATTTAAACACTATGATTCCTCTTATAATTTTGGCTGAAACATTAATTAGTCTAAAGAAAATAACCTTATTTGCATTATATAACTTAGTTCTTACCACCTAATGTTTTAATCTTGATAATAATTTTCTCTATTTAATAGATTGTTGATACGGATAACTAAAATAACATACTGATTCATATTTAATTTGTTCTTTTCTCTATAGAATTCGACTTTGGACTATATCTGGTAAAAGTGGCCGAAGAGGCAATGCTAGAAATGATACCAAACGAAATACAAGATTATGCAGACGTAAGATCATTAATAGCTTCTGTTAGTGAAAGTAGAGTTTCCCGTTAAGAATATATTTTCTTTTTATTCTATGCTTTTATTAGTTTTTGTATTTGAAAGATGTAGAAGTGGCCAAATGGTGGAGAACCTTTGGAAAATGTAGATTTTTGAGGTTTAATTGTACATGACTCCATTGCTTTGAAAAAAGATCCTATGAAGTTATAGTTCAATCAGTGATCGAGTGGTTAAGAACACTGAATACTGGTATTTTGAGCCAGGTTCTGTTGTTGCATTTGCTCACTTGTCTGACGTAGTCAGCCCAAGCCCAGAAATACTTCGTGGCAAAGAGCGCTAGATTACGCCTGCCTTTGGCAACAGCTTTGAGCATCATTCAGGTGACAGTGCGATTTAGCTCACTTCCGCTCCCAATTTTGATGGAGAGCCCTCGCGGGGACGGGTCCGAGGGCCTCCCACTCCTTTCCCGCTTCACATGAGAAGACTTTCGGCTCGACCGCATATTTGTGACGCACGCCGCACCGACACTATACATTTACAAACACCTATGCCTTCTCCCGGATTCGAACCCAGGCGCTTTGGCACGGCAATCAGAGACGCTAACCACTATACCGGTTGAGCGGCAAGAGACAGGTTTTAACCCAGGTAAATGGTCTCGCTGCATGGTTGGTTTTCGCGATTTTTCGCATGTATAATTTGAATGCGAGGCAATTTCCCTTAGAAAAGCCTTCACGATGACATCTTTCGGGCAGAAAGCCCTTGCGTGCTTTTTTATATTCAAATAATCTAACCCTGTGAAGTTATATATTACTAGGAAGATAATTTTATACAAAATGTAGTGAAGTTTGCCGTTGTGAATACCTACATACATTTCATAAACAGATATAACTAAATAAATGCAAAAAAAAAAAAAAAAAAAAAAAAAAAAACAGAACTCTTTTATTTAAAAACCGAGCATAATCGTGATTGTTCTGAGAGCCAACCAAATATTGGGATTCCACAAAATGGATCTAGTACTGCATAAGAGCAAGTACACATTTTTAAATAGCAGAATTAATAGTAAAACATTTTTAGTTGTTTGATTGACTATAATTTTTATACTACCGTTTTTAATTTTTTTCCCATGCTGTATTATATAAAACTTGTTTAGGGTAAAGGCAACGCTTATGAAATTATGAGAGAAGTAGGCAGAAATGTAACCAAAGAAGGAATTTCTGAATTGTTAGATAATTACCGACAAACTCAGCCAATTGAAAATCGAAGTGGTAAATACAGGAAAAGGTAAATAACAGCACCCTTGCGATAGAAGAGTTAAAATACTGTATCTGAGCATGAGATAGAAATCATCTGTGGCAATTATAATAGTATATTAAATGTGGTATATGCATGAGAGCATGTCTGCTTGCCACAGGTTTCAAAAGTTTGGATCAAATGCCAAAATTGTAAGGAAGCGGAGATTTTTATCTCTCAGATAAAAACAGAATGGGCTAAATTCTGTATTAGTTGATCAGAGGAGCAATGGAACAGCTCCATTTCAATTCACAAAACAAAAATATTCTTGACAGTGATATCATGAAATATTCTAGAAGAAGGTTGGAGAATATTTTTACTATCTGGGTACGCAGGTACAAGTAGAAGCCAGGCCAGCACCTCTATAGTACCAGAAGTGACTGAAGTATTGTTTAACCTAGCTAACAGTTAAGTTTCTGCTTCAGTTTTGAGGGAGAACACTCCACAGAGCAGTCCCAGCGTCTTCTACCTCTCTTCCCCTACCATCAAACTCTCGAGAAGACTTTGACTCACTGTGTATTTTGAGTACCCCATTGCCGCAAAGATACTGTATGCTTACTTATGTCCATTCCTTCTCCGGGATTCGAACCCGCTCCATCGGTTTGACAGTCAGCATCACTAACCATTAATTGGTTTGCCGTCAGCCTGCCTGGGTGCACAACGCTCACTATGAAACATCCAGTTAATGCTATGATGTGAAAGTGAATTACATATAAAGATGTGAAAAGAATTTGTTTGAACAGCGGAAAAACAGAAGGAAATATATCAGGCGATATATTACAGACAAAATTATTAGTATCAGTATATGACCTCTTCCATGATGGTAAGACTTATCATAATAGTGATAGACTTCCATGATAGTGGGAGTATATTTCAGCAGGACTCTGCGCCTTGACATGTTTCTAACGTAAAAATTGGTTTCAGTGAAAGGATGTTGCATTGTTAGAATGACCGGCAACAGTCTGAGAAAAGCAAAATGGCAAATGAGTTTTAGAGGGCTTGTGTTAACCCTTTGTTGAATTTATCAATAATTTGCGACCCCCTTGTTCTTTTTGTTTGCTTGTTTATTTATTCCAACAAAATTCCTAGGTGGGATGCATTTTCCTGGGTGGGATGCATTTCGTCCAGGTCCCCTGATGTGTCTCCTATAGATTATTCTGCATTTGGTCTTTTAAAACAAGCTTTTTATAAGCGGCATCCTAAAACAATGGATGGACTCTAGAAGATTGGGAAGGAGGAGTGGAATAAAATCCACCTTGATGTTTTAAGAAAAGGACTTTTATCTTGGAAATCAAGATGTAATGTGATGTTTATATATAAACTTTGATGTTTATATATAAATCTTTGCAAAATCATTATAAAAGTGTGTGCAAACTCTTTGTAGTGTGTGGGAGCTTGTGGTGAAAATTGTGCTGCAAATTTATATTTTATGTAATTTTAGTGATATTTGTCCTTATTCTGTTTAAACTTTTAAATATTTTCTTGTATGTACAACTATTTGCATTTTTTTGCTTTTGTGAAACGTAAAACATTGAAAAAGAATTCAATATGTTATTTTCGTAAAATAAAGTGAAAGGCCTTTTAAAAAAATTCATGGCTCATAATTGCCTAAGCCCAACAGAAAACCTTCGGTGCTGTTTAAAACTTTTTAGTCAGAAAAATTTACGGATTTAACTACAATTCAAAGATGCACTTACATTGTGTCATCCTCTAAATAATATGGTTTATTTATACTTTTAGCTTTCAAAATTAAGTTAAACAAAGTTCTTAACTTAAAATATAGTCTCTGTCATCCTGTGCTAATTCTCACTAGTTTCGTTGGGATTTTGTTTTGTCTAGATTTTCAGGACGTCCTCTACTAGTACTGCAGATTTTCTAGAAACGGGCTTGTCATCTAGGCTTTATTTTCCTAATCGGAATTTTTGGAACCACAGTAGACACTGGTTTATGCTCATTGCCCTATTCTTACATACTGCATTAATATTCCTGAACACGTAAAGCAAGACATGCCGAAAGAGCTCTTTTGTCATTTCCATTTAGCTTTAAAAAATGCGTGTTAAAATCGAACCGCATTCTTCAAAACGTGTACTAGAATAAGGGCACACAATGAAAGCAGGTTGTTAAATTACTACCTGCTTTCATAGCAAGTTAACAGAGGTAGTTTATCCGATGCTGCTCTGACTTTTAGTTCAATCAGAAAACTGCGTTATTTATGAGATGGTCCAATACGTCACACATCAAAATACACTCTGCAGCAAGAAATCCATACACCTAGAAGAAAGCGGTTGATAACGACAAAACTAAGTAAAGACAAGGGAAAGACAAATGAGGAAAACATGATAATAATTGGAGAAGCAGGTAATATTTATTGAAGCAATAACGGTCTAGAACCTTACAGATTTATATGGCGTAGGGTGACCTCGGGCGTCTATTCATGCAGAAATGCAATCTGGCATAGATACACATAAATGTCTATTGTTCTTCTAAGGGATGTTCTACATATTCGGTGCAATTGTGCAACTGGGTCAGATATGTTTTGCCATGGGAGGGGTGCAATGCTGAGGTGGTTATCATGTTGAAAAATAGCTTCCGGTGGGCGGGAGATCATGGGTGTTATAAACAGTAGGTTATCGTCGATGTAACGATGAACGCCAGGATAGAGAGCAAAATGATTAAAGACCAAGTATCATATGCAGTAGCACACTACACGGTAAAGCCAAACTTGATGGATGCTCCATAGTCGCATGGGGTGAACAACATTGGCCTGACCACTCTACACATGGATCGTTCGGGCCAAGCAAAAACCTGACTTCATCTCTAAAGGCAATATGATTCCACTCCCCTGCATTACTTCCGGCACACAGACGATATCACAGCAAACTTTTTAACAGAAAAGCCGGGGCTAATGGTAGATGTCGTAAAGGGCGATGACAAAGCAGTCAGTCTTCGTCCAGTGGTTCTTCGAGACACAAAAATTAGTAGAAATGTTTGTAGGTTCCGCTTAAGAGTAGGGAATGCAGCCGTCGCTGGGATTGTAACAGTGCGCACTGTGGCTTGATCCGTAAATGAAATCGTCCTCCGCGGCTTTTAAGCTGCTCTCCTTCCTCATATAGATGGCATATTCAATGCATATTCAATGCTGGAAACATCATCTGTATGTTTCATTGCTCCGAACCTAATTTCAGGCAATTTGGCAATATATGATTGTCCGCTTTCCGGCAGGCGATGATGATTTCTTTCTGGAACTCGCTCAGTTGTATGTGATCTTGTTGGATGGTCGTCCGAGGCATTTTACTTGGATACGGTCAAAAGCACTACACGCGCTCTCTTTTGTGCTGCAATGAGCAAGACGCAAACAGCGGCTGTTCTGGCATATAACTTTTTCCCATGAAGCCTTTGGGTAACTATAGACCGTAAGATTCGGTTCCAGTGGTAGCATACAGCTCACGTAAGAGCTGTGGAGCTGTAGCAATTCTGTGGCGCAACGCTGAAAATGCCAAATTATGATCCTTTTCCGTCGTTGTGGATTTTGGTCGACCTTGTCTAATATATCTAATATAAGTCTTCTTGATATGGATCTAGTGTCTTAAAACTGTTTCCAAAAAACTGCAGACGACACCGGGTGTTACATTCAGCTCTGTAGTCATCTGCGCCGGTAATTAGCCTGCATACAATCTACCGACAACTCTCCATCTTATTCCGCAATCCATACGTCCGTGACTACTTATTTTACCTGATACCTTATAAAGTTTACCCAACTCATGCGAAAAACAAGATGGAATTACTTGAAAGACTACGAGCACTCAAATATCTGAAACCCCTCACCCGTGCGCTTATATCCTCTACAAAATCGCAGCTCCGTAGCTACGTATATACTTGTGTATTCAACTCTGAATACTTGCATAATTAGTACCTTTGATTCAATAATTTTCGAAAAAATTGACATAATTTGCCAATTCGTTTATTTTTACACAGGAGTATACTTAAGCATTGCAGTTGTTAAGCTATGAATTATGTACTATCCTGTAATTACATTGATATATCATTTGTATTATACATACCACGACACTTTCTTTCTCTGTTTTATGCCATGTTATCTTTCATTCAGTACTTATAATTGTGCATTGTCCTATTCGTACGTATTTTTACATATGCATTAATCATCACTATATATTTTGTTTAAACGGTTTTTTTATAATGAAATCTCAGTGCTACCTGCTGGTTGCTTTTATCTGATAAGAATGTATTACGTCTATGCGATTTTATCTGTAATTCCTGTTTGTTTATGATACTTTATAATCTATGCCTGGCTTTTTCTGCAAACATCTGACCAAATCTGCAGCGAATATTTTCCAAAACATCCCACCCTTAGCTCGATTCTCAACGCTGCAAGGAAACAAAAAAATTCATGGGTTCCAAAAGTTAACTTTTTAACTTTTTGAATGTCCCTTTAAACAGGGCTGAATAAAGTGCTTAAGGGTATACTGTCTCTGCGGTAAGAGGGCACTCAAAATACACGTCGAACCGAAAATCCTCTCCAGAATTTCCAGAGGTTGAGGGAAATGGAAGAAGTGTGGAAGACCCTCGGCGTTTCCTGAAAGTTGACGCGGAACTGGACACTTGATGCGGTGGTATTACCTGTACGACCAACGATTAAAATTGTGGTGTCCTACCCACTTTTACCTACATCTCTACATGTTAAGCAATATAAATTTTTGCTGGATAAAATATTAATTTTGTTAATTTTTCCTTGCTTCTTTTTTGCCTTCTCTTTTTAGTCCAAAGGGCAAAAATGATCTTTTTTCTCTCAGGTCGACAGAGTACAACCCCCCCCCCCGTAAAAAAATTGAGATTTGAGGCTTTGCTACGAATCTGTACTTAGGGCATCGGATAATACTGATATGATTTTGCTTCTTGGGATCAGATATTTATCAGATTTTTCTTTTGAAGGGATGTGCATTAATTTGATTTTTGATTTAAATACGAACTATAATTCAGCAGAATGTGTAACCCTTCCTAGAGCTTTGCAGTTCTTTGGAACTACATACTCTATTTATGACCCTTGTTTAAAATGATTATATTGTCAGTGTTTACTGCATTTTCAGTATCATATTACACATTATTGTGCCACTTATGTATCACTTGCTGTAATATCTATTCGTGTGTTTTTATATTACTAATATACTGTCAGTATTGCACATTCGTTGTGTTTTTTAAAGAAGGTTACAAGATCAAAAACACGGACAAAAATCTATTCGGCTGCGAAAAGTAATGTATAAAAATAATGCTCTTTTTGTCCATACCATGTTTATCACATGAAAAGCAGCAATGTATTTGGTGTCTAGGATATTATAGTTTGTCCAGGATATTTTCGAATACCGTGCAGTTTGCCTCGAAATATGTACTGCTAAGTAAAATTTTAATATTTTTGTACGATACTTTCATGTATGTAGTATAAACAAGAGTTTCGAATGGACACACAGTTCCGTTATGAGATAAAATTGTTTTAAATGAATCGATGAATAGCTCCCATTCTTCGCGTTTGCGTTTCTGCAGCAGGATCAAGTCTATTTTCTATTGTATTTGTTAAATAGTAAATTTTTCAGTTAATAGTAATAAAATTTATATACCTAAATATAATTTCTTCCTTTAACATTATTCGAGTTTGGGAAATATGAAACTGTGCTGATTTATGTAGATTTTATTTTGGTAAACATTTTCAATGAATTCAGCAGTATCGCCTTTATGAAATATGTAGGAGGATTAGCTTGTGGTATCATTGTGATTACTTCATTTTGATAATAATCCACGCTCCAACAAGTGAATTCTTTATATTCATCTACTAAAACATTATGCATCATTCATATACATTTTCCATAAAATGGTATTTAATATTGATTCTTGAAGACAGAAATACATCGGATTTATTTTTATACATATGATTATTTTAATAGTCTCTAGTGTCATACCATTTTAGTGCAAATATTCTAAATTTTTTTTAACAGATCAGGTGCTCTCCAGGAGTGAAGTAACTGGAACATTTGGAAGAAGCATCCTATGAGCATTTTGAATCATAGTCTAAATTTGGACCACTATGATTATGATTAAAAGATCCCGGTGTCTGCATATTGCTTTTGTTACTATATTCCAAACTACTTCATAATTTTAGATGTTTACAGTGATAATATTGGTTTGTTCGTTGTAGTTTAAAAAATAAATTTCACTAAAATAATTGCTTTAAGAGTGTTTTCAATAGAATATTATGCACTTCTTATTGCTTATCAGTAGCCTGATTCAAAAACTACGAATGAAACCCGTATTTTTTTATACAGTTTTCATTCACATATATATAGCTAAGAATGTAGAATCGTAAGTTAGAATGAAAGAAGTTACAAATCATTTTAAGAAATGACAATCTTATAAATGTACTTCATGAAAATGATTTTCCCTTGAACAGGAAAACATATTTAGGTTAAAATAACACGCTGAACAACGATTAATTTAGAAGTCAAACAACAAATATCGGCGTTGAACCTGGAAAATTTGCAAATATAACGCTGATTTTTGTTCTTTGACTTCTAAATTAAGAAAGTATATATTGCTATTCCAGAAACAAAAAAATTCTACAAAATGTAGGAGATTTATTTTTGAACTTTTTACTTAACAAACGCAGCTGGTTTTCGTATTCAGCGCTCCTGATATTATCGAAGTTAATTTTCATTTTAAAAGGTATTCGATATATATATAGCTAATGTATTGTAATTAATGTGTGTAATAATGTAATATAGCTTACATAAAAGATATAATAATGTAACAATGTATATATAGTTATTTTAAAAGAATTAAATCCTAGAAATTTGAGAAAATTTATTACTTGAATTATTTAGACACTTTTCCTTCGATTTTTCTGATGTCCCCAAGTTTATTAACATTACAAAATGTATTTCAGATATATTTAACATATATATTGCTATTTAAAACAAAACAAAAATTAGAACTCGTTAGAGATTTATTTTTTAGTTTTTAACCAACACAAATGTTATTGTCTTTTCGGTATTCCCGAGACCCTTAAAGCTTCCAAAAGGTATTAGAAATATATTAAATTATCTTGCTATTATTTTTTGAATGCTAAGACATTCTGGAAAATTAGTCGAAATTTAAAGTAACTTAAAAAAGTATTGTAGCATAGGAAACTTCCGTGCATTCAGTGATAAAAATTCAGCTATTATTCAAAAATTAAGTACATTTTATTATTAACTGAGCCTAAATCTCGCGGTAATTATATTATGATGAAAAACATTAAACAAAATTAATAAATGAATGAGTTGTTTTAAATATCTTAATTTTAAATTCGAAATTAAGAGGTAAAAAGTTGTCGAGGCACAGTGGTAACCAACAATATAAAGGGGCAATTTTGGCAGTTTTTCTTGTCAAAGATATGAAAGAATGATTTTAAACCTGGAAAAGATTAAGGTTGAGGAGCTATTTTACTAGTTTGAAGGCATTCTGCAATTTTGTTTGATGTGAGAAAACTTCAACTTTTTTATTAGAATTGTGGGAAGTGTGAGAGATAAACAAGTGAACCTATATTATTTTAAAATAGCGTAAAACAAATTTGATAACAAGGAATGAAAAAAAGAGTCCATGGCGTTTTTCTGAAAACGAAGATAGGTGGAATGTTATCTATAATCCTAAAACCAGTGCAATAAAATTGACTTCGGAAGCCCAACAAATATTTAACAAGTCTGATGATAAAAGGAATGTTCGAAATATTTTAAGAAAATATAACTTTCATGGTCGAATAACTAGAAGAAAACCATTTCTGAACAAAGGACAAGATTATAGTTGTTTAAGACGTATATTAAAAAAACCCCGAGCCTTTTGGAATTTTGTTATATTTGTAGATGAAACATAATTCAGTATTTTTGGAATTGATAGAAAAGCAAATAATGTGGTGAAAACCCAATACTGAACTTCATTTGTAGATAAAAAAAAAAAAAAATATTCCTTCAATAAAACATGGTGGAGGTAACCAGATGGCTATACAAATGTTTGCGGTTTTGAAAATCTACATCGTTTTGATGGCAAAGTAGATAATTTTATGCATTAAAATACTTTAAAATAAATTTGATACAAAGAGAGCTTAGCATATTAAACGCCATATCAGTGACTGTTGATTGACATTACACATAATGTTTGGACTGCGTCAGTCACCAGTAATTGACTGTATATTTTCTGTCCACTCATGATTGACTGATGATATACAATTTAAAAAATTATATTCTTCTGTCATATACTACATAGCTTTGGCCACTGGTATATCTATGAAATCGGATAAAACGAGTTAAATGGAAAGGAAAATAAAATAAGCTTGGCGCTTAACATGCCAAAAATGGGACTTACAAATTTTTCCAAGATAATGCTCTCAAAAATAATGCTCATATTTTCAAACTGTGCACTTTTTATACCTATCTGTATGTAACTGAAATGCCCGCGCAGTATACAGACCTTAATCCTATTCAGCGTATTTCGGATCATTTGCAAGAGAGAATTAATTTAAAATCTTCAACTGAAGTAAATAGGCAGAAAAACCACCACACACACACACACACGCGCGCACGCACATAAAGTGGGCCAAATCTTTGTCGAAATCTTGTGAAATAAAGCCGGAAGAGTAAGACGAGTAATGTACTTTCTTCAAGTGAAAAATCGGAAGCGGTGCCAAATTAGCAATCAAAAATTAGAAATTCATTTTAAAAAAGAATTCTGGTTGCTAACTTTCAGTTTTAAACACATCAGAAAGACTTATTTTTAAAACGTAAAGTGACAAAACGTTATCAACACTATTTGAGATAATTTAAAAGGATTTCATTCCTGATGCTTCTTTCGTTCCCTGCATATCTGATTTCCACAAGTTATTCTTTTTGTAGCCATCTTTTTAGTCAGCATCGCACTTCTCAATTCACAGTTTGTCACAGTTTATTGTTCATATAATAAGCAGCAAAACTATTTATATATGAATTAATTGATTTGCCTTTATTTTACTGCAATATGTTTCTATAATGCGTATTATTTACCGCGTGTTTCTCATTAATTTCTAGAAAGGAGTTAAGAAGAATTTTGCATTCCAAAGCAATATAGTTAATATAGAAAACAGAGGATAACTAGTGGGATTAACCACTTGCGCGACGACTAAACTTTTGCGACTAAACGGTTGCGGTACCTTGCGCTACAATATAACAAGCGGTAAAGTGTCTCATTTACGCCGCTCTGCGTCTGCAAGGGCAATCCAGAGCTGTAACTCGAGAAATAAACAATCTCGTGGTTAGGCGACATTTGCACCACGTTATTTTCATTTTTGCTATAAATGCCTATCGACGTGGTGTTCACGTCGCTCGCGGTTTGAGACAAAATCATCTTGACGTGCGTGGCACGTCTTTTTAGCGCAAGTAGTTAATTTTGATTTCCAAGCATGATGTGTCATCACGATACTATGTACACCGTTTTCTAACCTTAAAATTTATTTTCAGAATTATTGTAATGAAGTTGGTTTATTATCAATCAGCTGTATAGTCATAGACTACACGCGACGATGCTGCCGAAATAATCTGATTGGTGGCAGGAGTGCAATTTGCCATCAACCAGAAGAAAGAGAAGAGGTAAATAAGGTTTCGCAATCAAGACGTGTAACTGTATTACATGCACAAGCTGCTTTATAATTCTGTTTTCAAATAAAACTTTCGTAATTTTTTCCCATCTGTTGCATAAATACAGGCCAGTTACACCCTTTGAAAGTCCAATATTTCTTGACCACATAAGCATAGTCATTATTCGACTGTTGAACTATTGGGCTTTAGAAAGCTTTCCATAATGTCATCATTTTCCTTAACCAAATGACCCTCATAAGTTTTTCCGTATTGAATTAAAAAAACAATCATACTAGAAGAATAATCATTTTAATTGCACCTGATTGAGAGAAAATATTCTTGAGCAATGTGGAAATTTAACTTTACAGATGAATATATCAAGAGAACTTAAAGAGAAACGAAAACGAAAAATTAATAAATTAGGTAGTCAAGAATCTATTTATAAGAGAATTAATTTTCAGAAAATACCTTTTCACGGTAGAAGTAAAAGAATTGATACAAGTTTCAGTCTCACAAACAAAATGGAAATACGAAAAATTCAACGAAATGGTCCTTCGATTTTCATTTTTTAACCGATGAAAAATTAATATAGTAATTAGATTTAGGTAATTTAAAAGAAGCATACTACGGCGTTTATATATATATAAACGGCGTTTCACTTTCCAGATTGTTGCCACCAAATATTATCGCCCTGCATTATATTTAGAGAAATTAAATAATGAAGAATTGAAGAAATTAAATAATCTGCAAAAGTGTATGTATGTTTCTCGCGCTGGGAAAACAACAGAACCTAGAGACATAGAGACTTCAAATTTTGAAAATGAAATTTTGAATTTGACAAAAACTGGAGGCCCTAATTTTCAATTTGGAATTTCTTTTATTATCTGTTTCATATTTAGTAAAACTTTAACGAAATTTTGATTAAAAAACTCAACGACTTCAAAGCAAGTAATAGCAACACTATACGAAAAAAAAAATATTTTTCTCTAACATGTGAGACTGTGTGTCGGAAATTCTAAACGTATGCTCTTTTTAAATTATTTTGTGATATTGCTGTTGAATTGAATTTTATGCGGTTAAAGTGCAAAAATGATATTTAATGAATAAAGGTAACACACAAAACGTTAAGAAACGCTTTTTGGGGCGTAATATAAAATCTGAGAGCTTTCAGATTTTTTAAACATTGTTTTTAATTAATTTTTAGATTTTCTATTTTGTTTAGTCCTAAAATATGTCATGTAAGAAAAGTATTTCGCTGTAGTTAAATGCTTAAAGGTTTCCTTCGAAATATGTTTGCAGGCTTGCTGTGCCGCGGTACCTCTTTCACTAACTCTATTTTTAAATTCAAGTTTAAGTTACAGATACAACTGTTCTTTCTCTTCGCCACTACTGATAATCCCAGAGTTTATTTTCTTTCTAAAAAGGAACTAATAATATATATATACATTTAGAACATGAAAGCTTTCAACAACTGTTAAATAGATAATTCAAATAGAAAATTAAGAAATCTTTGAGCTAAGAGTCTTCATTTTAACTCATTTTCATCTCAAAAACTTAACGACAGATCTCTATGCACAAC